TTGTCAGTGAACTACGGCTCTGTGTAGTAAATGCTGCTCCGTGAAAGCACGTGATGATGATTTCCTGCTGATTACAGAACCGGCTTTACTAACAAAATGCGCATGACAATCGCATTCGATTAATCGTGCAGCCCTAGTCTTTACTCCCTAATCTCGACTGTTGAAAAGAGACAAAGCTAACACAAAACAGTCGGTGAGCAGCTTCTTTGATGGCTTCATTCTCAATATAGTCTAAGGACTGGAGATCTAGGATGAAAGGGGACGATGCTAGGATTTCTCTGGTCTAGATCAGCAGAAGTTTTTCCTAAACCCTGTTTTAAACCTAAAAACACTGCATTCACAAGATCAGCATCTCCATATGGTTTTCAGATGGGATTTTCCTCATGCTAGTGATGAAAACATAACCAGACAGTTGAGACGGATCATACACGATACAACAACGGCTCTCCATTCTCACTCTATCAGTGACAGCTTTCAGCCTTCACCATGAGGTTTGAAGAGAAAGCACTGATGTATTATTAGCAAACATACAATGGCATTTCTGTACACAGTAAAGGTTTAACAAGTCTTATGTGCTAAATAAATAGCTTAGCAAAAACAAAAAGATGATCATCATAATCAAACTTGCTTTTATGATGTAAATGTACTGATTATTTGCCAAACGAGCTAAATGTAATATTCACAAATGTACATTTATAACAATAAAATAACAATAATAAATTACAATAACATGTCTTCTTATTAAATGTACATTAATAATAATAATAACATTGTTATTATTGCTATTATTATCAATGTATATTAATAAAATAGTAACAACAAGTCTTATTAAATGTACAATTATAATAATAATATAATTAATGGTAATAATAATAATGATAATTGTCTTGTGAAATAGTATTATTATAACTTACTATTATTGTAAATGTACATTTATAACAACAGTGATAAATTACAATAACGTCTATTATGATGATGTTCATTGTTATTACTATTATTGTTATAAATGTATATTTAATTATAAAAATCATTTTAAGAAAAAAACAAACCAGACAGTAAAATAAAACGATCCCCACCCACCTTTCAGCACTTCCGCTTTCGTAATCCAGCACGTCACTCTTCCGCTTTCAATTTTTTTTCAACTGACAGCCAGCTCGCTAGCATTAGCCAGTTAGCCAAAGACGACAATTTAACTCCACTTCGATTCACAGCTCATTAAAAACACGATCAAAACGGCACCTTATCCTCCTTATTACTGTAATATCCCGTTGTATGGATGTAGAATAGATTTTTAAGACGCGCCAGAGAGCCTTCAGTTGATCTGTCACGTCTGGGTTTGACAGGAAGCTCACTCATCGCTGCAGCTCGCGCTTAAATACGCCAAAGAGTCCACAGAGAGCAGGCGCGGAAAGTGGGCGGAGCCTGAAGAAATTTCCCTTTTTTTCTGCCACTGAAGCAGCATTGAACCATGGTAGATGTAGTTTAAATGTAATGTTTTATATGTTTTTATATTAATATATTTTAATAATTTAACAACTAGAGGCAATTACCTGGTTACGTTTCCATAGATTATTACAATATAAACTAATTAAAACTTTTAAAAACTGCTATTTTCATATTAGCTTGTGATGTTCCTCATTATACAGTATGTCACTTTGGATAAAATATTCTGTTAAATGTAAAATATAAATGGTCGCTCCATATCAACTCAACCAGAGATCCTTGGCTAAAAAAAATTTTTTTTATAATTTTGTGACCCACACTTGGTTTGGTTTTTGACCACTGAAAATGTGTACAATATAACAATTTACTCATGGAGCCACATTGAAATCTCTGTATCTCTGGAAATTAACCACATAAGGCCTTAAAAATTGGAAAACAAAAGAAAAGTGTGCTAAGAACGAGGGCTGCACAATTAATCGAATTTTTAATCGCAATTACAATTATGGATGCCACAATTACGTAATCGTTCAAAGTGGCAATTAATTGTTCAAAGTCCACTTATTTTATTCTGCACGCTTAAGATATGTTTTTTTTCTTTCTACATGTTATCTTAAGGGTTTTTCCATTGTTTTAGTTTTAGTATAACATTATAATACCATTCATATTTTTACTTTTTTTATAATTAAAGGTGCTGTATGTAGGATTGACACCGAGTAATTGAACTAGGTATTGCAGTCCAAATTAAAAATATTGGAGAGGGTTTTTTTCACCCGACCCCTCCACCTCAGACTTGACGCACACTCAGGTTGCCAGATTGACGACACCAACAGGAACGAGCGCACTTGACGATGAATGAAATGAAATACGCGGTGTTTTCCGCCGAAATACAATTGGGTTAACTGGCAGTGGGCGGCTTTCACAAACCAAAACAGAGACCGACATTCTGGCCCGGAATTTTCAAAGGAGAATAACTGACTGTAGCATTGTTTTTCAGATAAACAAGTTTTTTATAATTTAAAGAAGAAACCAATCCGATGTATAGTTGACATTTGAGGCTTAATACTATAGAAAAGCACTAAAGTTTTTTCAGTTAGAGTGTTTTCAGCTTGTTTCTTTTCATATAACAATACAGCATGCAGTTGCATCAAGCAATGGTATAAACATCATTCAATGTAAATTGTGATAATCGTAATTAATAATCGCAATTAAAATGTCAAGGGAATAATCGACAGTTATGATTTTTGTCATAATCGTGCAGCCCTACTAAGAACTAAAATCTAAAAGGATATTAAGATATCTTAAATACTTTTTGAGTTACATGCATGCATGCATACTTTGTGAAAAAACATTTCACATTTTAGAACTGTCACCATTGGCATATGCAACAAAGATTGTTGAAGTCAACATATTTTAACTAATATATTACCTACCAATATCTGTGCAAAAAACACCCTGTAATTTGGCTTCAAATCTCTCTCGAAAATTGTCATGTTGACCCCCCTTTTACAAAATAGTGGATTACTCAGTAATTATACATCCATGACATTTAATGTTTTGGCTTTCATACCGATTTATGCTTGTCTTTGTTCAGAAAAAAAAGTTTCTGAAATTTGGTTGATTAGACATTGAATGACTCAAATGTAAATGGTATAAAAAATACAATTTATTACTATGATCACTATTATTGTTATAGTATTATGATTATGATTGATCAAATTTTGTAACTAATTTGAAAATATGATGTCGCACGGTAGACTTGTAAGTTTCACGTTGGTCTTTATTGTCTGAAAATGTAAATGTTAATCACAAATGTATTAGATTTCGAGGCTGAATAAAAGTGTGTTATAAACGGCTCACGTACATCTTTAATGGTTCTTCAACCAATATACTTTTTATTTCAAATAGTTTCAGTAACAGATCTGAACTATTTCTATTTAGGGCACAGTTTTGGGGAACATTGTTGGGCACATGTGTTTCTGTGTAGATCTAAAGTAATTCACATTTCCTAATATCAAAAAGCCCAGCATGATGGGTAAATATAATTGCTTTTTTTAGAGATGCACCGATTGCATTTTTCTTGGCCGATTCCGATTTCTGATTTTTTAAGTGTGACCTGCCGATTCCGATTTTCTGTCTAAAAACTATAATTGACAACATATATACAAACAAAAATATATACTTTTTTTAATGCAAAAAAATTATTTACATAAAAATATATTAAACTTTACAATTCCCCCAATCTGGACAAAGTTACAGATGTTCTATCAGTTAAACAACTCTCAAAATAAAGTGCTCTGTGACTAGAAAAGAGATAGAAATAACAACTAACTGAAAAGGAGTCGCTGTATATAACAAAACAGATGTCATTTCCCACTATGTGTCTTAAATTGTCATTTTTTTTCACTAACATTATTAAATGTGTCATCTTTCATGTCAAATTCTTACATTGTTTCAATTAATTCAGTTTGAATAATAAGAAACTGTAGAGCTGTTACCATTCAAATGAAATCAGTATCAACAAACTCCATCTTTCCACTGCAGCAAACACAGAAGCTGCATCTGAAGTGGCATTAGATGTATTTACACAGACTGTTTGATGAAGCTAAGGTGCCATATGCATTTACACTGCAAAATTAAGAATGCATAAAGAATTTTATAAGATTAATATTTTTAAACATACAAATAAGAAACATTGGGGAAAATGCAATGATAGTTTCAAATATGAAACCAAACCAGTAGGTGGCGGCAAATGACTGTTTGTTTGAATGAGTGAGTCATTTAGTCCTTCATTCAACAGATTCGTTCAAACGGCTGATTCATTCAGAAACGAGGCAAGTGACTACTGTCGTTATGAATTGGTTACTGAATCATTGACTCACTTGATTCGTTCAAACATTGGATTCATTCAGTAACGATGGCACAAAGCAGTTCTGCTGTGGCTTTGATTATGACTGTTTGTTTGAATGAGTGAGTCATTTAGTCCTTCATTCAACAGATTCGTTCAAACGGCTGATTCATTCAGAAACGAGGCAAGTGACTACTGTCTTTATGAATTGGTTACTGAATCATTGACTCACTTGATTCGTTCAAACCTTGGATTCATTCAGTAACGATGGCACAAAGCAGTTCTGCTGTGGCTTTGATTGGAGCTATTTTCATCAGCAAAGCTTAGCAAAAACAGTCAATATTGTGTCTAAAATGTAAGTCACTTAATTTTAACTTCTTGTTTATTGAACTACAGTTGTATAAAATCACATTGCAATCATGTTGAAACATTCTGTTTGTGCAATGTTGCGTACCTAAATCATATATTACATATTTCTTTTTTTTTTTCCTGCCGAAGTATGCATCTGTAACTTTCTGTGTGTGTTGTTGCGCTCATTTGTTTTGATTTGTGTACGAGTCTCTCTCTCACACTCACTCAGGCGGCGCAAGCCTCATCTGGCATGACATCAATACATTATTAGTCGCCGTAAGTGTGACGTCAACAGACCGGCTCGGAATCGGCAGACTGACCGCCGGTCACCGGTCCGGGCCGATCATGCGGAAAACCGGCTAATTCCGGTCCCTGGCCGGTCGATCGGTGCATCTCTAGCTTTTTTCTGTCTACTTTCTAACAACTCAGCTGGTTACATATGAGATTTCTATGACCGTCCCTCTTAATGTCTGATCAAACATCTCAGCAAAGCAATCTTTTCACTCATCTGTTCAGCGTCTTGCTCTTGTTCTCATTATAAATATGTTTTCATGTCTTTCAGCTGAAGATCTGAAAGTGAGTTCACTCGAGAGGGTCACCGTGGACGGAGATGAAGGTAATGGTCTTGAACTTTAGAGCCACTTTATAGAGATGATATGGAGCATGGCAGATGATTAAATACTTGAAATGTCTCTAGTCTAGACGTTGGTTTACGTCACAGCAAGACAAAGCCATGGTGTGCTACTTGCTATTGCCATTTGATTGCAGTTTGTACTGTGGAAATACGTTCTCATTAGGAATGCACCGAATGTTCGGCAACCGAAATTATTCGGCCGAAAATAGCAAAAAAAAAGCTCTTTCGGTGTGAATAAGCGAAAAGACCGAATGAATTGTACCGAACAATGATATGACGCGATCAAATAGCAACCAGCGCAAATGGTGAAAAAAAATTTTTTGGCAAAATACATGGGGGAAAAAACCCTCCGTATTCGGCCTTCGGCCCAGTGTTTCATTTTGTTCAGTTTCGGCTTCGGCCAAGAATTTTCATTTCGGTGCATCCCTAGTTCTCATTTAACTGGACAATTTGTATTTGTAAGTGCATTAGTATTCTTGGTCTTCATGGAGGTTGGAAGACAAATGCGTAAATTTACTCTACATTGATTTTTGATAAATGCAGCAACCTTCAATTTTGAATTCATGGCATCTATAAGATGCTTTTTGCCTGTTTTTAAAGTTTAAGCTTTTGAATTAAAGTTTGTTTTGGTGACACTTGTATTTCAATTAGTATTTTATTTGTTGTTGGTCTGGATCTGCTGTTTTTGTTTATGCAATAATTTTTTTCTGTGTAGCGCGTATGCATTTTAATGGTCACAGTGTTGAGTTTTGCATAGTAATTTTGCTTTATGATGATAACTTCGAAGTGCAAACATTTTCCTACAAATGCGCTGCTCTCTGGTACTTAACTCTAGATTTGTGCTCGGTACAGACGACATGAACACTTTGCTCTGCTTCCTGGTTTTCTTTTGGTCTGTTTCTCTCTATAAATTCATCATTGTAGGAAATGTAATACCAGTCGGCTGTGCAGTTGTTTTTAATGTAAAGCGTTTATGCTTTCCTTTTGTTTCCATGGTGACTAGCGACCAGATCGTTACCTGTAGAGTTAAATTGTGGTCCTGGACATGCACTTAATGACTAAACTAAGTTAAATAACAAACGTCTGTTCAGTGAAAATAGAGTAATCCAGTGGATAGTGAAACTAATATTGAAACTAAAGCATGCTTTGTCACACGGGATCAGATTAAGCAAAGCATCTCTGATTACAATAGAACGTCATTGCATATATTTTAAACAGAAAGTGCATCCTACGGCATGCTAATACCAAGTGTAAACCGGGTCTGCTTACGCAAGAATACCGGGTTCAGTCTGTAAAAGGGAATATGATAAAAATTCATGGAGGCGCAGTGGGCACTGAGTCATGCTCCATTAGCAAACTCCAACACTTCTTGCATCCACCTCTGTAACATATGGTTATGCCCAACAGCAAGGTGGACAGCTTGAAGATTATCGCAGAGATCCATCACGCACTAGTGCTCTGGTCGGTGGCGGCGCTCAGATTCTCTGTTGGCTGTGGTTGTTGTTATCTGTTATTTGAATAATCATAAGTGGTACAATGCGATTTACCCATCTGCTCCATTGACTGACGTCTGTCTTTGTAGAAATTGAGGGAAAAACCCGAGGCTCTTGTTCATGTTTTTCATTAAGCTGCTCAATTGACTGTGAGGTTATATTGCTCTTCTAGTGAGAGTTTTGGGTATTTACTTACATTTTGGAAGAGAAGGCCATCTAATAGTCTTGATTGCATAGATTCTCTCACACCAGAGACTGATGCATGTGTCCCAGTACATTGCAGCAAAAGGTCAGATCTATTCAGTGCAAACCTCTGTCTGTCAACAAGTCTTTTAACTCTGTCTGAAAGTAAACAGTTGAGAGAAACATGCTGTCAGTGCCAACTGTCATTTAAAGGGATAGTTCACAAAAAAAATGTATTTCTGTCATTATTTACTCACTCACATGTTGTCCCAAACCTGTATTAATTTCTTTCTTGAGCTGAACACAAAATAAGATATTTTGAAGAATGTGGGTAACCAAACAGTAACTGATCCACATTGATTTTGATAGTAGGACAAAAATACTATGGAAGTCACTGTGGACCAGCAACTGATGTTTTTTCACCTTCTTCAAAATAGCATATTAGTGTTGTTTTGCTTTGGTACCGAAATTGGTACCGAGAACCATGGATTTTCACTGGTATTGGTACCGAATACTGAAATTTTGGTACCGTGACAACACTATAGCATATATGTTCAGCAGAAGAAAGAAACTCATTCAGGTTTAAACAACTTTTGAGTGAGTAAATGATGGTATAAAAAGACAGACAGATGACAGAATTTTTATTTTTGGGTAAAATATTGCTTTAATGTTAATAAAACAACAAAACACAAAGAGTAAAATCACTCACTACTCTTAACTGAAAAACTTGAATACAGTTGCTTTAATAGGAATCAATCTATATAGTGGTTTAATCTTATATTTGTTAATTCAAATTCTTGAATGCTCCTGCTAAATAATCCTATTGTACCTTAAAATAAAGCACTGTTGTTTTACTTGTATAATATGTGTATTTATAATGTGTATCTTTGTACTTATTTTTTAATAACAAAGATAAAATAATGACAAAGATTTTTATCTTTGCCCACTTTGGCCTAAATATCCTCCATTCTTTTTTATATTTTGTTACCTTGAAAGGCTTTGTCTTCATAATATGGAAATTAGCTGTAATGCTCAGACAGCTTGCAAAATGGTAAAAACCAACATGACAAAGAATCGTGATAAAATCGTGAATCATGATATTTCTTTAAAAAAATCGTGATATACAATATTTTTGCCATATCCCCCACCCCTAATTCTGGCCATAAATCGCTCGCTTATATGGTAAGGTCTTTCTGATTGACATTTAAAGTGAACAGTTACGCAATGTTTTGTCTATGCATGTCATCTTTGGTTTATATGAAATAGTTGATACCACAATAATGAACCAGGTTGGGAAAAATGTTTGTCCAAGTTAGTCTTTGTAATCTTCATTCAAATGCAATAAGTAGATTATTTCTCAGACTATAACACCAAGAACTGAATATTTTATGAAAAGGCATAATAATGCAGTTTTGCTCATGCATTTTTAATTCCCTGGCTAGTAGTGTTGGGTGTAATGCATTACTAAATAACTAATTACTTTAGAAAAAGTGATTACTTTAGATTTTTCTGTAATGTAATTACAGTTACTTCTGATGGCAATTGCATTAAATACTGTATAGACTATAGAACAATTAAAACAATATGGATTTGGGAATCTTCTTCCTTAAATACTTTGGTCAGTTTAAAGAATTAACAGACTTAACTGAGCAGTTTCATGTCTGTTCTTATATTGTTCAACTGGTGAGGTTGATATGGGATTTAGAAAGTAATTAGTAATAAGTAATGCAGTGATTTTTAGAGAAAGTATACACTGTTAGGTGTAATTAGTAGCTAGTAATTACTTACCCAACACTGCTTACTTGTAAGTAGGTCTTCACAATATTTTTGAAACAGATTATTTTGCTCAAAAATGATAATTGCGATCATTAATCACGACAATTCTCATTGGTTCGCCAGAGAAGGTTTGCTCGCAGATTTAGCCACAACAAATATACCAAAAATACGAAAGCTTGTGGAGGCTTGTTAGCAATGCAATATAATGCAAATGCCAATTAAAAACGATGTTTTCGGGATGGATAAATATCCAGCGGCCAAATATTGCTGATGACTGAGAGAAGCAGAAATTGCATTCTTGATTAAAATGCCATTTAATTGTGCAGTTCTACTAAGCATCTCAAACACCTCTTGAGTATCTTTTAAAGATTTGATGCCACTAACCTGACAAACTTTGGCAAATCCAGCGATTCGTTTTTCATCAATCGCTGAAATAGTCTCGTACCTTGTTGTTTTCAGGCCAGCTGTTGCATCCCTGGACTCCTGCAAGTTGCATAGCTGGCAATTTCAGTCGGCACTTGCCTTTTTTCTATCCAGTATGCAACAGATAACAGACTGTCCAGAGCTCAGTGAGATCTCTAGCCAGCTGAGTGAGCACGACTGGTTGTTGTAGTGTCTTGGCATGTAATTATATGACATTACATCCTCAGTCATTTGAGCGCTGTGAGGAGACTGGCAGTGCTAGGGTGTGTGTGCTAATTTTAAGATGTTCATAAGAGACGCTTCGATAATCGAGAAATGGCCAACAAGACTGGTGTTTATCTCACATTACAGTGCCCTTACAAGGCGCCCTACTCCGCAGAATGTGTTAACATCCCTCTGGATGTGTTGACGTCCCCATTCTGAGAAGCGTTTCTTTTCACCTTGTGGCGAGAAACGCTGACATCGAACTTCTGTCAGCGTTCCTGCGACTGCGTGCAGCGCCGTGGACGAATGAAGCTGGCACTGGGTATTCATCTGCTGTTTTTGGCTTTAAAAATGTAAATGACACATCTGAGGACTCTATGAAGTTGAGCTCTTTGTGTGCATGTATTAAGTAGAAATGCGATAAGAGGTTACGCTGGACTGCATCCAGCAAAACAAATGTGTTTTTAAAGAAAATGTAGGTTTTGCCTTTGCAGAAATCGTTGTTGTGAAGCTATGATGTTCTGGGTGGTTGCTAGGGCATTGCTAAGGTGACCAGTGTTGTTGTTTGGATGTTGCTATGGAGTTGCTAGGGTGTTCTTGTTTGGTTGCTTGCTTAATGGCCTCTTAATGGTCTCTTTATTAGTCACAAAAAGGCCACTGCCTATAATTTAGTATTATTTATGTACTATTGTAGTATTTATTCATGTTTTGAATTAGCTTTTGTTTTGATATTTACAGTTTTAATTTTAGTTTACATTTTTAGTAATTTTGTTGTGTGCTTTCGTTATTTTTATCAGTTTTTGTTTTTTTTAAATATTTATATTTAGCATTAATTTATATTTATTTCAGTTTTTTAACTTTTAGTACTTCACCTTATTTCACTTGTCATTAATGCAGAATTTT